TGCCCAGGTGAACCTCACACTCAGCCCTCTGCACTGAGCGGGCCCCCTCTGCCCAGGTGAACTACCCACTCAGCCCTCTGCACTGAGCGGGCCCCCTCTGCCCAGGTGAACCTCACACTCGGCCCTCTGCACGGAGCGGGCCCCCTCTGCCCAGGTGAACTACCCACTCAGCCCTCTGCACGGAGCGGGCCCCCTCTGCCCAGGTGAACCTCACACTCAGCCCTCTGCACGGAGCGGGCCCCCTCTGCCCAGGTGAACCTCACACTCATCCCTCTGCACTGAGCGGGCCCCCTCTGCCCAGGTGAACCTCACACTCGGCCCTCTGCACTGAGCGGGCCCCCTCTGCCGAGGTGAACCTCACACTCGGCCCTCTGCACTGAGCGGGCCCCCTCTGCCCAGGTGAACCTCACACTCAGCCCTCTGCACGGAGCGGGCCCCTCTGCCCAGACGAACCTCACACTCAGCCCTCTGCACTGAGCGGGCCCCCTCTGCCCAGACGAACCTCACACTCAGCCCTCTGCACTGAGCGGGCCCCCTCTGCCCAGGTGAACCTCACACTCAGCCCTCTGCACTGAGCGAACCCGTCAAAGCTGCCTCTGCCCAGGTGAACCTCACACTCAGCCCTCTGCACTGAGCGGGCCCCCTCTGCCCAGGTGAACCTCACACTCAGCCCTCTGCACTGAGCGGGCCCCCTCTGCCCAGACGAACTTCACACTCATCCCTCTGCACTGAGCGGGCCCCCTCTGCCCAGGTGAACCTCACACTCAGCCCTCTGCACTGAGCGGGCCCCCTCTGCCCAGGTGAACCTCACACTCACCCCTCTGCACGGAGCTGGCCCCCTCTGCCCAGGTGAACCTCACACTCACCCCTCTGCACGGAGCTGGCCCCCTCTGCCCAGGTGAACCTCACACTCAGCCCTCTGCACGGAGCGGGCCCCCTCTGCCCAGGTGAACCTCACACTCAGCCCTCTGCACGGAGTGGGCCCCCTCTGCCCAGGTGAACCTCACACTCAGCCCTCTGCACGGAGTGGGCCCCCTCTGCCCAGGTGAACCTCACACTCACCCCTCTGCACGGAGCTGGCCCCCTCTGCCCAGGTGAACCTCACACTCACCCCTCTGCACGGAGCGGGCCCCCTCTGCCCAGGTGAACCTCACACTCAGCCCTCTGCACGGAGTGGGCCCCCTCTGCCCAGGTGAACCTCACACTCACCCCTCTACCCAGAGCGGGGCCCTCTGCCCAGGTGAACTCCCCACTCAGCCCTCTGCACTGAGCGGGCCCTGCCTAGGCTGCCTCTGACAGCCATTGAATGTCAGAAGTGGTTGCTGCCAAAGTCTCCCCAACACTAAGCTCGCCTCACCAGAAATGGCAAACAGCTTCAAATGTCTTCAAGAATGTCAGGCCAAGGAGAAAAAGGTTAATCTCCCTCTTATTTTTCTCAAAGTCAGAGCTTAGACAAAAATTTAAAAATCTGGGACTGTGGCTTCTTCCATAATCCAATCTTCATGGCAAGTCCACTATATAAGCTAACATTTCTTTTAGACTAAGGGTAAAGCACTGGACCAGTAACCAAGACTGAACGGTCCATCTGACGTGAGACCACTGGCACCCCAAGTATAGGGCTGTTTCCTCGTCTGTGCAATCAGGTTTGACCAGCGGGTCTCTCGGGCAGGAGCTACCACGCCGGGCTGTAGGTCAGAATTAGTGGAGGGCTTTATAAAAAGAAAGATTCCTAGCTCTCAACTCCAGAGATGTTATTCAGAAGATATTTTTTGAAAGATCTCCCAGGAGATGCTATCATCAGCTGGGTTTGGGAATCACTGCGAAGGTCTCTGCTACCACATTATGATTCGAGAACGAGACTGTCCGATATAGCAGCCACCAGGCACGTCTCCAGTCTCAGGAGCCACAGGTAGTGGGCGGCATAAAGAACAGTCATCATTGCAGCAGGTTCTGCTGGACAACACTGTTGCACAACTCAGTTAAAGACTTCCCCAAACACACATCACTTCATCTCTGTTCTCCCTGGCTCTGATTTATTTTACTGATTCTTCAATAACTGCTACCTTCTGGTCTTCAAATATGTTAGCCTGTGAGAAAAATAGCCTAATTTCAAACATAGCTTTCCTTTGTCTCTCTGAAGAAGCTAAAGAAAACATGGGATTCTTCTGTGTGCATCCTTCCCCTCTTGGCCATAGAGACAAACACACATCATAGAAACAAGAAATCCAGAGGAGGCTCCGGGTCCCCCGGGCGTGCAGCGTGCTGGCTCTGACCCCGGCCAGGGCTTCTCCTCGGGCTCTGTGGACGTGCTGGACGGGAGCGTTCTCTCCTGGGCGCTCAGATGTGAGGGGCCCCCACAGCCTCTCCTCGCTACGTGCCAGCAGTACCTGCCCCCAGGTGTGACGGCTGAAAATGTGTGATCTCACCAATCATCCATTCTTTAGGGGGCAAATCCCCTCCCTTCATCTCATTAACAAACTACGCCTCTAATCCTATCTTCTTTTTTTTTTTGGTTCATCCTCATGGGAGGATATTTTTTTAGAGAAAGTGGGAAGGAGAGAGGAGTGAAAGAGAGAAACATCGATGTGAGAGAAACACATTGATTAGGTGTTTCCTGCACACACCCATGGCCGGGGATCGAATCTGCAGCCCAAGTACGTGCCCTTGACTGGGAACCGAAGCAGAGGCCAGTGCTCTAACCACTAAGCAAACCAACCATATCTCCTTCATCTCAATTCCTCTCGTCATCCTCTCTTCCTCCCCAGTCTCTGTTACAAAAGAAAAGGAAGGAATTTTTCCTAAGCAAATCAGGTTAGTAAACAGAAACAGACTCAGACATCAAAACTTGCATCTCTTCTTTTATGCAAAATCTGTGGGTAAATTAAGCAGATTCTGCTAGATAGAAGATAAAGAAAAGCAAGCAAAAACAAAACTTTCTAACAAGACATAGCAAAATATGATCCAGGAAAGATCGAGGCTTTGGTGTGTTTATTCACTTTGGGCCCTTCTTTAAGAAAACACAAATTACACACATAATACTGGATAGACACGTGGATATCTAGGAGAAATCAAAATCCGTTACAGCCGGGCCGCTGTGGCTCAGCTGGCTGGGCGCTGGCTGCTTCCCGGTCAGGGCACGTGCCGGCTGCGGGCTCCACCCCCGGTAGGCGGTGTGCAGGAGGCAGCTCATGGATGTCTCACTCTCACACCGATGTTTTTCTCTCTTTCCTTCTTTTTTTTTTTTTTAATGTTTTCATTGATCTCAGAGAGAGAGTGGGAGAGGGAGAGACAGATAGATGTGAGATTACCCCATGATGAAATGTCCTCATATAAGAATCTGTCTTAAACAGACTTTCCTCTTGCCTTGAAGACACAGCGGCCATGCTATCAACACCACGGAGAGGCCCGGGAGCGGGGACCTCCGAGAGCCGCGCTCCCCCATCGTACCTTCCCAGCACCCCGGGAGGCTGGAGGAGGGCTTGAGCCTCAGCGGAGCTCACGGCTGCAGCCGGCACTGTGCCTGGGAGACCCTGCACGGGCCCCCGGCTAAGCTGTGCCACATTCCTGCCCCCCGCAAACTGCAGGTCACAGATGCAATGTTTAAGCTGCTGAATTTTTGGTAATTTGTTATACAGCAACAGAAAATGAAGACAAACATCACTTACATGACATCACAACACAATAACATACTTTTATTAGCTAACTGCCTGGCATGCCTCCAGAATACCTTCCTACATTTTTTTTTTTTTTTGGTTGCTATATATTCTTTGGTTATCTTGTCATGTGCTGATGATTTTGAAATAGTTCCTATCAAGAATAAAGAAATGATTTAGTCTTTCCTATCGTCTAGTTAATCCAAATTTCTTTTTTTATTGATAGTTTAGAAAGGTTTTTTCAGCTTTACAACTAGACATTACTAGTAAGGAAACTTTTGGGATGACTATCAAGTTTAGGATACTTCTTTTGGGCTTGCCAGTAAGACACGGAAGAACTTTCGAGACTCGTTTCTAGCTCCATGTTTCAACCCCTGTTTCTCCTCCATGGCCCACTCATTCAGTGCCAGGTGTCACAGGACATGTCCACACCGAGATACCCGTTGGCACTGCACCTCGTGTCACAATGCCAGGTGAGCGGGCACAGTGGGCAGTGGGAATATTCCTGGAAGCCATTCTACACCAGGATGGCCAGTGACAACCACAGGCCAAAGTGACCCCAAACCACATAAACACATACCACTAATCCCCAACTAAATGGGTCCTTAATCCAATTTCCCTCAGAGAGAGCCCAAGATGGCCATGGCCACTCTGGCACCACCCAGCTTAAGAGGAAGCTGGACAGAAAGCCAGGTGGAAAGGGGTGGTGATCACAGCCGCCAGGGTTCGAGAGCCCCTTTCACACACTCCGCGTGTGTACCCGCGAGGGTGCAGCTGAGAGGCCCACGGCGAAGCTCTAACCCGCACACTCTGCCTGGAGGAGCAGGAACGGCCACCAAGCAGGGGCAGTCATGGTCACAGGACTCAAGAATGCATTGTCACATGGACTCAGTATCAGTTACCCACATCAAGGGATGGGAACTTGGGCAAAATGGTCAAGCTACACCTTGCTGCAGGGAGAACCCGATGTCTGGCATCTAAGAAAAAATTAAGTCTTATGACAACTTAGCTCTCCCTTTCCACAGCTCCCAGAATTGACTGTCTCGAAGCTAAGTGCTGGACCGTTCTTTAGAAATACCTGTACAGAGGTCCCTGCCTCCTCTCTCGCTGCCGTCAGAAAGACAGCTCAAACTATAACAATAAAAAGGATGCAAGCAGGGCCCCTAGCATCCTGCCAGAGTTGAAATTACTCACCAAACATCAGCAGTCCGGATCCTATGCTGGTTAGACCCCTTATAAAGCTTCTCAGAAAGCACCCTCGTGAACTGCCCCAGGAGCCCTGCACGCGGGGACGGCACACGAGTGTGCGGGAGAAGGGACACGCGGCCGGTGCCCGGCATGGCTTACCTCATCGTACATGAACTGAAGCGTCAGGGCCGACTTGCCAACCCCTCCACTGCCAACCATGATCACCTTGTGGAGGGCCAAGGAGCTCTGGCTCTTACTCTTGTTTGCAGCCATCCTGCCGGTTTGCTGAGGTTGCCACACACGACTGAAGACCCAGTTGAAGAGCTGTGAGTAGAAGGACACACACTGAGAGGCAGCTGGTTTCGACCCCACTGAAATCCCTCCGCTCCAGCCAAGCCCAGTCCAGAATTCTCAGGGTAATTCTCGGCTCCAGGCAGAGAGAAAGCCCAACGCAACTCTGGAAGTCATTCAGCACAGCAGAGCCAGAGCAGGCTGGGGGTGGGTCAGCATGACGCGGCGGCAGGGTACCGCCTGCCACAGAACATCCATTCAGCCTCAGCACTGCCCCCAGCCCTGCCCTACCTGCCCCGAGTCATCTGGAACCGCAGGCACTGGGATGGGGACCTCCTCTCTGTGAGGACCCCTCCCTGCCATCACACAGCCCTGAGACTCGTGGGAAGATAAGGTATTCTAAACAAGTACATTTAACAGATAGTACTGGAACTTGGCCCAACCCGAGTACCGGTGTTTGCTTTACCACGCTGCATGGAGAAATGTTCACACATACCGGCGAGGAAGGGACGGACGCGGCCCATGCCTGGCCCTGCCACCTGCGAGCTGTGTGGCCTGGAACCAGGTACTGCATCTCCCCAGGCCGGCTGTCTCATCTGCAGAGCCAGGAGACCACCACCTCTGCGCAGGGCTTTGCTGAGCATTCAGTGAGGTGACATACGTGAAAGACCACGCACGGTGCCCAGTACACACTAGGAACTTAATAAAGGTTGGCTACCTTCCTATCTCATTTTAAGAGGATTTTTTTCCCTTATTACAACATATGAGCCCCTATCTCCATTACTTCTGACAAAGTAACTGAAAACAGCCCACTAGAAAAATAAATAAATACACAACATGCACACAAACGCACATCATTGGGTAATAAAACAACACTGATGTAAATCAGTGGTTCCCACCCTTGGCCGCACGGTGGACCCACTGGGGGGCTCTAACAACACCCTGGTGCCAGAGCTTCTGGGAGTCAGTCTGGGATGCAGCCTGGGCGGAGCACTGGAAGCTCCCCAGGGGGCTGCAGGAGGCCTCCAAGGTGGACACTGTCTTCCATGCACAGGCGCTCAAAGGAAAGGAAGGAATCCCCACGCTGGGGAGAAAAAACCAGCAGTAAGAGCTGCCATTTCTGCAGCCCTGGACAGCGGCTATTCTTGGTAATTTAGGATTAATAAACACACAGGACTAGCAGACCAGCCCTGGGCCGGGTGGTACTCAAAACTGAGACCCTTTCTCAACTGAGACTGGAGAAGCCAAACCCTTGAAGGAGCACACCTTCACATACAGAGGGGACTAGAAAGACATTTTCCACCAACTGGAGAGCTGACCCGGGAGCTTGGGGCCTGCCGGCAGAGGCCTCTGACGGTATCTGAAATCTGCACCACAGCACTCCTCCAAGGCCAAGAAATCAACACAGAAAACCACCCCAGGCCGGCGGGCGCTGAAGCCCAGGCAGAGGCCGAGAGTGAACACAGCCTCCCGGCAGACAGCACGCAGAGAAGGCAGCTCAGGAAATTCACGCTGAAGCCCTCACACCGGAGCCCACACCTAAGAAAATCACCCTGCACGAGACTCAGCACACACCACCAGTAGGATTGTCAGCTCTTTTTTTTTTATCCTCACCCGAGAACATTTTTGCATTTATCTTCAGATACAATGGGAGGGAGAGAGAGAAACATTGATGTGAGAGAGACACATCGACTGGTTGCCACTCACACAACGCCAACAGGGGCCAGGAACAAACTGCGACCGAGGTACGTGCCCTTCGCGGGAACCGAACCTGGGACTCTCTGGTCCGCGGGCCAGTGTTCTAACCGCTGAGCCAAACCAGCCAGGGAGAATTGTCAGCTCTTAAAAGAAGTACGCTAGCTGATCATTTTTAACAAAGTCAAAATCAAAATGTGAGAAAAATTACATTATCAAAAGACCAGGAGTTGAATAAGGAGCACTCTGAATGTCTAAAATTTTTTAAAAGTATTTAAAATGAAAAGTAATAAAAAACGTAGGGGAAGAAGAACCCATCTTAGGTCACTGGCAGAGGCTCCAACAGTAGACTGACAAAAGACAGGTTGATGAGAAAACAGAGAGAAGAGAAAAGAACAGAACAAACAAGCGCATTAACCATGCATCGTGCGTACACAGGACCACACAGTGATGAGCAGTCAAGGGGCAGTTAGAACCTGGGCTTACAGCGCATCTCGACAAAACAACAATGCATTTTGTAGGGAAGTGACAAGACACAGGAAAGGGACCTTGCATGTGCAGAGTGGCAAACCGTGCAGGGGACATGGGGGGAGCTCACGGAAGGCAAGGGCCAGTGAGCAGCTGGCCGTGGAGACTCTGCTGGTGCCCTCCTTCTCTGGGCGCATTAGTCTCGAGTTGTCGCAGGTGACTGAGACTCGTCCTGCCCGTCCTGGTAGCGGCAGGACAGAGTCTTTCCTTTGTGGACATTCCGTCTGGATTGCCTTTAGCTCAAAATAATCCTCATGCCAAAGTGGCAGATTTTGGGTGGCATACTCCAAACCCCTTCAATGGTAGAAAATTTATGAAATACACCAAACTATCTTTAAAATAGAAAAAAATCCCCTATGATCCTACCACCCAGCTATTCACCATTAACAGTGCATTTCCTGCCAGTATTTTAATCTATATAGTTCTATATTTAAAACCTATTTGCAATCACATTTCCATTGTTTTGTATGTTTTTTCCAGTATTTTACCTGTCTTCGTAAACGGGGCAGACTGCACATGCTCAAACCTGTCCTTGATGATCTAAGGCCCGTCAGTAGGTGCTGTGATGCGGGCGGTGCGTGGAGACCACTCCTGCTGTCCCCCCTCACTGGACCAGCACTTACCTGTCTACCCTGGGCCTTCTTTCCATGCCCCCTTTTCTAATTATGTGCTTTTTAATGTGTTCTAAGCAATTAACTAGATAAGTAAGCACCTTTGAGCTGTGACTGAAATAGAGTAAGTGGGATAAGGCTTCGGTCTGGGAGGTGAAGCTGCTTCTGGCCCGACTCTGGGCCACGGCTGCTCCCGCGGCGCGGGAGGAGGGCGGGCCTCCAGTCGGCTGAGCTGCCACAGGATCCCTCCGAAGCAACCTTGCTGCTATGACTTATTGCAGCTGTATGAAAAGGAGAAATAGTTTTCCTGGTTGGGGAGCTTTTACAGACATGTGTAACTCTGCGCTGTTATTTAAAAAAAAAAAAAAATGGATTTTTCTAGAAGAAATCATAATAACAAACTGAAGACTATTCAACAAATTTACAGATATTTGCCAAAATGTGCTGGAAGCTCAAAAACTGGAATGACCATGGTGGCTCTTCCCGTCCCCGCAACTGCTGCAGGCCACGCGCCACGAGGGGAGCGGCCGGAGGGCAGGGTGCCTGTCACGTGCCCGACCCTGCACCCCCCTGGAAGCTGGAAATGCCGTACTGCAGGCAGTAAACTCTGATTTGTTCAAATTACCTGTCTATTCATTGTTGTTGTTTTCATTTTCACTTGTACCAAAAGCTTTCCAGAAACAGTCTTTGCATTCAAGAAACACGAAGTCGGGGCAGATCAGTAAATGAATGTAGTACAGGACAATAAATTACACGACAGAGTGTGCAGGGGGCTCTGGGAACACGGGAGAAACGTCTAAATTAGACTGGCAGGTCAGGGAAAGTTTAAGGGAGAAACATGAGAACTGAGATTTGACTAGATAAAGACAGGAGGAGCGCCCTGGCCAGTTTTGCTCAATGGTTAGAGCATCAACCCGCAGACCAGAGAGTCACAGGTTGGATTCCGGTCAAGGTCATGTACCTCAGCTGGGGTTCAGTCCCCGGCCTTGGTCAGGATCGAGCAGGAGGCAACCAGTCGATGTGTCTCTCTCACATCGATGTCTCTGTCTCTGTCTCTGTATGTCTATCTCTCGCTCTCTCTCTCTTCCTCCCACTCTCCCACTCTATCTGAAGATAAGTGGGAAAATATCCTCCAGTGAGGATTAAAAGAAAAAAAAAGGAGAGGAGGAGAAATACTAGGAAGAAAAATAATTAAGGATTAGAAGTTTGTGTTCATGATTTATGTTTATTACAGACATACCTAGCCAACATATGTGTTCTTAAAAATAATAAAGGTATCCTTTCCCCAACATTTTATTATGAAAGTTTCAAACTCGAAGACAGGTTGAAGGACCTGCACAGTGGGTCCCTGTGCCCACCACCCGGGGCTACAGCTCACATTTTGCTCCATTTCCTCTATCACACTCCCAGGCACCTGCTTCCCTCCACTTACCCATCAACTGTCCTATTTTCTGACGCTTTTCATGTACGTTATAGACTTCAGTACCCTTCACCCCTAACTTCTGCATACACATCCATTTTTTGCAAAGCAAGCATACCCTCCACGGCCTTTGCTAACACTTTCAGAACTCTCCCAGGGATTTGCAAACCTCCTGACCTCTTCAATGAACTCTTTGGGTTCTTAGCCAATACTTCAAAGCCACAACTCAGACCTGGGCCCCTAAGACCGAGGCCTGGCATGGCTCTTAGGGAGTCGGAGAAGTCTTCTATGGGAAACCTGAAAAACACACCAACAGACACCCTTTACTACTTACTACTTACTAACAGAGAAGTTCTGTTGCTTGATTCATTTTTGTCCCAAAACACTGACGTGCTACTTTGTGCCAAGCTGCAGGTCTGTGCCCCTAGAAAACTCAATCTCCTAAGGAGAGACATTTTAACATAACTTCCCATGTGCAATGATGAGATGGCACGAGGCATAATGTAAAGCACAGTGAACCCTGGGGAAGAATCAGGAAAGGCCTGGATGTTAAGAGTGCACTCAGCGGGCGGGGCTGCGTGGGAGCTTCCCAGGCATCACACGGCACAAGCAAAGCAACAGAGGCAGGATGCGCCACAGTGAGTCCAGGACCGCGGACTGTTGAAGCACAAGCTGCAGTGGGGAAGTGACTGGGTGATGAGTCTCAAAATATATGACATGTTCATCTACTAATGGACCTAAAATACTGTCTTAGGAAGTGCATCCCAGAGGAAATGAGG